TGCTTTTTAAGTGAAACACCAGGGAAGGAACTGATTAGATTTATTTCTAACTGAGGTCTTGGTTATAATAAATGGGGTACAGGAGAGTGAGAATATATTGCAGAAGCTTATATGAATATGTGCCTGGAAAAGTGCTCAGATGGGGGGGGGAATGTTGGAGGACACAAAACTACCTGATTATTCCAACTCTAGACTTTTTAAATCCTTTAGGGGATATAAATTTATAACATTATCCATATGTCAGTCACTGAATGCTTCTACATTTTTTTCCCCAAGGGGTTCCTGTTAATGACTTCTGGTTCAGAGTTCCAATGAGTGTGGTTTGAGAAATGAGAAGTTATTTATATACTGGTTATTGCCTAAGATGCATCTCTTTGTTAGTAATTGCTATTCCAGTCTTGGATTACCAACCTCAAAATTATTTATAAGCACATAGATACTAAAGTCAAGTTAATATTTTTGACTCAGGACTATAGGTGGCCAAGTTAAATTAATTTAGATGACACTGTAAGAACATTTTTGAAAGTAGGCAGTAGATCATAACTGACATCAATAGTATATTTGTATTATGCATATTATGTATTTGTGTGTGAATTCCTTATATTCAATTCAATTTCACAAAACTCAGCAATGGATATTACCTTATGCCGTTTTAGGKAGAACATAGTGAATGGCAAACAGTAGAAAGTACTTTGCTAACATTTTTCAAAGTATTTGCTAACAGAGCAAAATGAATGTATTGCCATCAGAATGAGTGGTTTGCACTTGCCTTAACTTTACTGTGACTTTGTCAGCAAAATGCACAGTGGTAATAAGTGGAATTGCTGTTGGTTCTTTGCAGACTTATCTTTTATCACACCTTCAGAAGACAGGTTTTAAATAGAAGTTCACGCCATCTAAAATAATAGTTTGCAACAAATTTAATCAGGAATCTGGAAGGCTTTGTCTTTTTCAAACACAATATTGACCTCATTTTCAAGTGAATAAAGGATCAAGACTTATTTATTTATTTATTTATTTGTTGCACACAAGAAGGAAGACAAGCCATCCTGTCTCCTAAGAAAGGGTCTGATGGTGAAACTCTCCCTCCATATGAAAACTATCTTATTTTATGTTTTAGCAAAATTCAGGGGTGTATTTATTCCCAGCCATGTTATATTGGTTCCAGATTCTGTGCCATATGAATAGGGTACCATGTGCTACTTAAATATGCAATTGTATAATATTTAAATCAAATAAAATATATCTCATCAGTCATCATTTCTTTATGATGAAAACACTCAAAATCCTTTCTTCTAGGTTTTTGAAATTATACGTAGACTATGGATAGAGAACATCTCTATAGTCATCTGATGGTGCAACAGTAGTTTTGCTCGTCTTTTTGTTGGTGGTGGTTTGTTTTTTGCAGATTGAATCCAGAGCCTCATGCATACTAGTGACTGTACCCAGGTACAGTCTCAGACCTCTTTTGTTAGCTTGTAAAGACAGAGAAGAAAAACTTCTTTTCTTCCCAAGTCCAGAAATCCCATGAGTCAATGTTGCAATGACCTGTTAGGAATCATTTAAACAGTTATAAAAACTGAACAGAGAAATAGAAAGCAAGACCTCCTTCAGGAGATGCTATCATGTCCAAGCGATTTGGAAATGACTGTGCTTTGAAGAAAGCATATGCTAGTGTTCTCTGGACCCCAGCATATAAAGCGTTTTTGTGGTCATGATTTGCCATCTTCAGCTCGTGACACATGACATTTATGGGGAAAGGAACTCCTTTTCCCCTGCCCTCAATATCTGCACTGTCATTACTCATTCCCTGAAGTGGTTTGGTCAGTTGTACTGATGTGCTTCAGAAAAAAAGAAGGACCCTTGCATCATGGTTTAGAGAGGACAGGGGTGAGCAGGTCTCTTGCTCTTGGTTTCAGAAAAGCTTCACAGAAGGGCTTTCATGGGATTTTATTAGGAAGGCAGATATGGTCTGATAAAGAAAATTTAAGATAAAGGAAGGTAAAGTGTAGTAAACACAAGAAAGTCTGTGGGAGACCTAAAAAGAGTGAGGAGAGCTCTAAGTGAACCAAACTGTGAAAAGATGGAGCAGATATAGGAATCTAGGAGCTTAGGAAAGCCCTAAATGGTCAGAAAGAGGCTCCAAGGTCTCAACCATGACACTGKTTTTGCTTTAGGATGCCTGAAATCACAAAGTAATTTCTAATGCCTGGCTAGTGGCATCCAGCATGAATAAATTAACAGAACTGTAACGATTACCTCTGTGTTTGTCATCAACAATTACAGTTAACTGCCACATTGGTAACTGAGCAGTTCCCTCACTGCTCTGGCATTTGTCCCCTGATATTTGTAAACAGTGGCCACACTGCCACTTCATCACCGTCTGATCAAGCTGCATGGGGCTCACTCTTGCTCTTCTAATCCATTCCTCCAGCCGGTGAAATCATTTCCCTCGTGCTCTGTTCCTCCAGCCAATTTGTTCATTTCTGGGAAAACTGGCACCGCGTTATTCTAACTGCAGACACACAGTTGTATTTACAATTAATATTTATTGAGTGCTAACTGGGTGCCTGGCCTTGCTTTAGGCACTGAAAAGGGCCCCAGTTACCATTGATTTATGTAGGTGCACCTTGGTGTCCTGGCAGCCCTGTGTTCTCCTACTGTCTCAGATTCCTCTGGTGTAACTTCTCTTTTGATACTTTTATTTGTAATTGATACACAGTAATTGTACATATACTTATGGGGCCCAGTGTGACATTTCTCTTATCTCTTTCTTGATGGTAAAATACAGAGTTCCAATACTAGGAATTAAGACATTCTTTCTCTTACTCCAATTTTTTCCCACTCAAATGTTATTTTTATTATAGTGAGTTAGATAACTGTATTGGCTTTAAGAAGTTTCCATAAATGATAGCATTTGCCAGTAAATGGATGGTACTGAAGAATATTATGCTAAATCTAATAAGCCAATCCCAAAGAACTAAAGGCCGAATGTTTTCTCTGATATACAGATGCTAATTCACAATAGGTGCAGGATGGTTTGGGAAGAATAGAGGTACTTTGGATTTGACAGAGGGGTTGAAGGAAGGAGAGGGGATGTGGAGGTAGGAAGGATAATAGAATGAATCAAACATTATGACCCTAGGTGCATATATGACCACACAACTAGCATAATCCTACATCATGTACAACCAGAAGAATGAGAAGTTATCCTCCATTTATGTATGATGTGTCAAAATGGATTCTATTGGCATGTATAACTAATTAGATTTTTTAAAAAAGTTGTTCCCATAGACTTCCACTGTATAAATATGACATGTTTTCAAAAAAAGTTATTTGAACCTGAAAATTTCAAAACCAAAGAAGTAACTACTTTGGCCCTACCTTCTTGCCTATACAGATGGAGAAGTTTGATGAGGAAATACATTGACTGGGTTTGTCTGACTCAGTTTTTCCCATGATGGCTGATAATAGACTGACCAGGGACAAGTTTAAGCAAATACAACTTTATTTATTCACCTTGGAATAAGGATATAGACACCCATACAGAACAGCATCCCCTTTGATCGTTTGTTCCCCACCCATTCCAGGGAAGTAACTTGAGTGTTCTTCCATGGCAGACATATCCTTTTAAACATTATCAAATACATCATTAACACTTCTATTAAAAAAATGGTGTTCAAACACCAAGAAGTCTCTGGATTCTGCTCATTATGTTCATATAAACTAAAACCATCTCCCATTTGTCCAACACATCCACTTGTATGAAAATGTCACAGA